TTAATCGGATAACATTCAGGATGATACTTCTCCGGATTACAGCATGCCAGCGGTCGTGACTCATCACCTGACGAATCAAGAACTCTCATTCAGCAGTACATATAGAACATCCTCAACATTCATTGGAGTACTCAATAAGGGAATAGAAGCGATAATTTCAAGCAGCCGTTCAATGCAATGAATAATTTGAGCTGATGTCTCTAAAGGACAACCGATCTAATCGTCATCACAATGGACCAAAACCAATTATGAAAGAGGTGTGAGCGTTTCGGTAGCGATGTAATGAAACAAATTATGGTATTTCTTGATTTCATCAAAGGAATTGCATTGAATATAAATATTTAATTAAAGGATTTTATGAAGTGCGCTCTTTCGAAATATCCACTGACAGAAAACAGAACCGATTAACTTTGTATATAATAGAAACTCCAGCCGTTGCTCAAGCTGATAGCTTCATATATAAGATTTCATTCAGTGGGTATTGGAACCAATCCACACATTGGTTATAACTTTCATGATAGAGAAATGCTTAATGAGGATTTCGGACAAATGATCGTTTAAGTGTTGTGAGTGATTTTCAGGGAACTCAGCGATCGATTACCGTTGAAGAGTCGATTAGAGCCAATTTGTGCGATATCCTCGTAGATGAACATGGCCCATTGAGCAACCATCATCGTGCAAACGTTGTGCTCTTCAGCCGGTTCAGTTACGAGTTGTACCGATACTCGTCTTGCACTCGGTAGTGGTGCGCCGATGGTTGACGCGCGTGGCTTACTCACCTCTGAATTCAACTGCTTGCTTGGATCAACGGTTCTTCGAATTNATGGAATAATTTTTTCAATTAATTTTTCTCTTCTTATGTTCCAATTTCACAGTGTTCAGAGTATGCGAATCATATTCATAACGATATCCATCATCATTCGTTAGGAGTGTTGTCGTAAATGAAATCCGAGCATATCCCTTAATCAATTAAATGGTCATATCTCAATAAGAAATGATGTGTTCAGCTCATCGTTTAGGAATGTTGTCGAAAATAAGATTCGAGCCCGTCTATCAATCAAATGAATGTTCATATTTCTATGAGAATTCATCTGTTCAGCTCATCACACAATGTCGCTCTCAAAAAATCATTCCGCATAAAAATCCCGTCTATGCCATTGCCGAATATATCAAATATCTCGACGACAAACAGTTTAAGACATTTTCGCACTGAGCATCTCAAAAATCAACTTGTATCCATCCCCAGGCTATATTCGGATTGAAGACACTGAGATCAACTTCGCATGGCGATATCATTGTCACTGTTCAAACTAAGACTGTGATAGTAAGTTCAACGATTTGATAGCTGCATCAGATCAAAATTACCATCCGCATAGTCTGGCTTCAAAAAGCGTTGCATGGGCTCATAAATGGCTCCTCGTAGTGGATAATTGACATTGTTACAATGACCCGAAATTGTTCTATAATTGTTTCCAACGCATTCCACAATTGCATTCACAGGACAAATCTCACTCAACGCCGTTTTTTCTAATTCCATTGCCGGCAGCCCAAAGACAATTTGTGCCGGGCTCAGTCCAAGTCTGAAATATTCTCAATGCGTTCATTANCGCATTCCACAATTGCATTCACAGGACAAATCTCACTCAACGCCGTTTTTTCTAATTCCATTGCCGGCAGCCCAAAAACAATTTGTGCCGGGCTCAGTCCAAGTCTGAAATATTCTCAATGCGTTGATTAAGGTTTATTTGTACTCACTCGAAAACTATTCCTAATAGCCTTACTGTGGATCGCTTAGGTAATATATCAAGTTGTGAACTTCTCATTCCCGTTACGCTATCTTAAGGATAAAGAAAAGACAAAGTGGTGGTGGAAACAGAATGTTTTGACTGAAACATTGATCCATCGGCAAATCTGATCTGCTTAGAGGTCATGAACAAAACAGCAAACCACAAGAATATGAATGTGCTGAGCTCAATCATCAATATCACACTTTTGTCATGCCAAAAGAGTCTTGAACACATCACTGCGTTGCTGTCACATCGAAAAACTTCTGCTTACAAAATCATCGTTGAAAAAGTTCAGAGTTCGCTAACAAACCGTTGGAGTTGCTGCGTTGTTTTTATTGAAGTAAGAGCCGAGTACGAGAGGTCTTTAGCGTAACGATCAATGCGATACATTTCAGACCAATTTATCTCCGCTTGTGATAGAGTTTGATCTGAAGTTTAAGTTTATCACTGATTGAACAAACACAAAATTCAGTCTTGATCAATGTCGTGAACACTCTAGCTGTTTCATAGAGATTTTCGCAACCGTTCACGATTAACTCCAATGTTGATTCTGTCCAAAATCTTCAGTGAATGTTTCAATTGGCACATGAATTCGCATACGACAGGGTAATGAAACGCTCGAACAAAGTTTCATTATAATTAATGGAGTTATGTAACAAATTCCATTGATTGCTACATGTGAAAGATAATTTTCAGTTTACCATTCGAAACGATGAATAGACTTCTTTCAGTTCTATTGAATAAATCATTCATATCCGATCGTGCATCCTTGATCGCAGTGAGCAAGTTCTTTCGAGAAACGATTTCCTCCAATTCCTCATCACTATTTTTTAATCTCGGTATTTGGGAGTTCGCGATCAACGTCTCTTCTCCATCATCATCTGAATTCACTGGACATCGTTTGAATGGGACAGACAAAAGCTCCTATCACTTGAATGAAAAAATGTACACTGAAAGAATGAAGTCAACTTTGATGACTTCATTCTTTCAATAAGGAGAAATTGATGAATTTTTGACAAAATCGCATGATATTGCAAAATAAATTGCGCTTATTCGATAATCATCCTTTCGAGGATATGACCCGTATGAAACTGAATTTAAGGCGCTAATAAATTTAGAACTATGCGTTATTCGAAGCTCGCTAGATTGCTGCAACCGGTCTACATGAAGTAGCATGCACAGTTCTGTGAACAGTTCATTCCATGATCAGATGCAAGCGAGACGGATGATATCGCTGCAACTGACACATACTACCCTTTTGAACCTAGGAAATTTTGATTGCGAGACCAGAATATGCGGTCCGCACATAGACATTACAGGTCATGCGCTACAATTTGAACGGGGACACCATCGAATTCCCGACGACAATAAACGGAGCAAAACAGAAGAGATCGAAGACGAGCTGAGTGAAAATCTGAATGGAAGCCTCACCGATGATTCCGTTGTTGTCATCAAAATCAAGCGGACCGTTTGAGCACGGCGTAAAACTCGTACCGCACGGAATATTGCTTCTGCGTTGTCGTGCGTGAACATCTTCTTGTGTTGAGCACTGCTTGGCAACACTCAACAAGAGCAACAGCAGCAGCCACAACTGCCAGAACAGTGTCATTGTTAATTGTTCAGTCAATGGTTATATCTGCAAGAACGATTCATCATGCGTTCAACATGAAACACCAATCGGCGGATTGAGCCAGTTCATCTGCATGGTCACATTTTAACACTCTTCTTCAAGTTATCGTTCGAATGACCAGTGAAAAACATGGATTTTTGGTTTTGTATATAAATATGATAGAGATCAGATGTAACTTCAGGGTAACTCTTAAATAAGAAAAAGATAATCTGTAATTTTGGATTAATTCATCTTGAGTCTGAATCAGCGATGCCGGGAATAATTCGATAACACCTAACGAATTTTTTGTTATCAGCTAGAGTGATAATTTGAGTAGTTTAGCGATTAAATTGCGTTCCCCCAAGTGTCCTAAAAGAAGCGCTTGCAACAATTCATTCAACACAACATTCTACTGCGTATGGTTTATTTTTGCATAC